CTAAATAGTAAATGTAAAACTTGCTCATAGTGTTTTTGGAGGTGACTGAAATGCTTTGAAATTCTGATGCACAGTATTTCTGGAGGGTTACACAAACAGAAAAGCATGATTGTTTGGTCAGGTGAAAAAAGGCAGCAGTTTTGGCTTCCAAATACTTGCTTGTTTATGAAGGGCTGTCTGTTTCAAATGTGTAATTGACTCAAGATGCAGAAATTTGAAGCAGAGAAAATATGCCCTGTATTCATACGTGCTGATGTGCTGAAAAACCAGCCAACAAATGCAGCAGTTTTCACAGAATGGTGCAAAAAAGGAGGCAGCTAAATTCTTGCTGCTATAAGCAGTTTTGTTAAAGCAGGGAAAGAACAGCTTTTCTAGTCCATGTAAGAGTTGTGTTTGTTGCTGTTTAAACTGATCTCCAGCTCTTGTTCATAACCTGCTTTAAGTCAGCTCTGCATGTTTCTCATGTGACAGAGAATGAAACTCAGCTTGGTGCTGCAGTTAATTTTCTCCTTCACCAGCTGGTGCATTCTCTCATAAGGGTAATGTCTTCATAAGCTAGTGTGGGCTGTTCTAATAAAATCCAGTGGAGCTGTTCTTCACTTTGATTTTCTTGAGTGTCAGGATGAGCAGACAACTTATGTACAGTTGTATGTTGTTTTTTTGTGCAGAGCTACAGTGCAGGAAGGATCTGTGGCCAGATGCCAGTGGGAGGAAGATGACATACCAGCTGGATGGTGAGTTCTGAAACTAAGTCATGAAATACTGCAGTGGTTTAGGAGAAGTGACAGACTCTACCAAGGGGAAAGGAAACTGCTTACAGCATTACAGAGCACACCAAAACCTAATCATGGTTTTAAGATGTATTTATACTCAGTTACTCTAGATTGTAAGAGTTTGTAACAGAATGCCACTGGGGCTGGATTATTTCCCATTAAACCTAGGCTTAATTCAGGTCTTTTTTATGATCTCAAAATGAATGTTATCAATGTGTGTTGCAGGAAGCACAGCCGAAAGCATGACAGACAAACAACTACAAGAAAACAACCCCATCTGCAAGAAAACAATGTCCTTGTGATTAGCAGTCACATAGACTTTGTCCTTGAAGCCAGCTACTGGTAACAATATTTTTCTGAATTCCTCAATTGGGTGATGTGGGAACACTGTCATGGGAACTTCTCATAGTTGCCCTGGTAGCTTGGTTTGCTCAGCTACAGCAAGCCATGGGATTTTTGCTGTTTCAAAAATCCCTCAACAAATGTGGCTGATCAGATGTGCTAATGTGATTTTTCTATCTCTTGATAGATTGGTTTATCAGGCAAGGCTGAAATGGCACATCTGGGAAGACGGAATATGGGACATACTAAGCATGTTTGCATGTGATGCTAAATTAGGAGAAGCTGTTGACTCCTCTGAGGGCAGAGAAGTCTTGATAGGTTATAATACTGGACACTTGCCAGTTGTATGAGATTTAACAAGAGCAAGTGCCAAATTCTGCACCTGGGACGGGATGATCCTGGATATATGCACAGACTGGAGGATGAGAGGCTAGAGAACAGCCCTGCAGAGAGGAATCTGTGGGCTCTGGTCAACAGCAAAATTAATATGAGTTAACAGTGTGCTCTGCAAGCCAAATGGCCAACAGTACCCTGGAATGCATCAGGCACAGCACTGCTAGCTGGTTGAGGGAAGGGACTGTCCCACTCTGCTCTGCACTGGTGCAGCCTCATCTTGAGTACTGCGCGTAGTTCGGGGTGCCACAATATAAGAAGGATGTAAAACTACTATTGTCCAAAGGAGGGAAACAAAGTTGTTGAAGGGTCTAGAGTGAAAGAGATAGGACCCGATGAAATGGCACAAAGCTGTGTCAGGGGAAATTCAGATGAGATGTTAGGAGAAGGCTCTTCACTAAGAGCATGTTCAAGCACTGGAACAGGCTCCCCAGGAAAGCAAGTGGTCATGGCACCAAGCCTGCCAGAGTTCAAGAACTGCTTGGACAATGTTCTCAGACATATGGTTTGATTCTTAGGTAATCCTGTGCTGACCCAGGATTTGGACTCGATGATCCATGTGGGTCCAGTGCAATTCACAGAATCACTCTATGGTTCTGCATCTGGGACTGTTTTGGACCATCCAGTCAGTAACAGCAAGGCCCTGACATCTTGGAGAAAGCCCTTTGTAGGACCCCTGTTAAGGAGTCCAGGATGCACGAAGGACCACTGAGAGTGATCCCTGGGTACAAGGAACAGCCTTTCTGTCTAGCAAGCAAAATGGCATGTGGGAGTGAACCCACAGAAAGTGGCTTTCAGCCTACGGTCATCCTGCAGCAGCAAGGAGTCTTGGAGTAGGCAGGTGTAGGGAAGCATCACAGAGTTACTACCAATCTTCGAGTAGTGCAAGAACTTCAAGGAGGTTCCTGGGGTGGCTACAAAGCCCCAGAAAGACCGTCTCCCCAACGGCCAGCCCAGGCTGTGAAAGAAAGCAGCAGCCCTTGCCAGGAGAGGTCTGTGAGCAAGGGGCCTGTAACAAGCCCCCCAGTGGTGGGAAAGCCACTGAGCTGCTGTGCAGACATCTGCTGCCCAAAGAGGTCCTGTGAAGAGTGGATCGACTGGTGCATCTGGGCAGAACATGAGAGAGGCTCAGTAAGAAAGACCTTTGGGCAGTATCTTTGCCATGGGACATGCCTGTGGGTGTCATATAGGGAATGGTGTGGAGCCTGTGGAGTTTGATCCTCCAGAAGACAAAACCGAGAACACAGATACGCAGCCACCTCCTGTGAAGCTGTATGCGTCAATGTTGCATTTGGGATTCCCCCAACAAAGAGAAGTGGGAGCCCTACCAAGAGGACTAGGGCTTCTCTGGTGCCTTGGCCCTGTGCCTTGAAAGGGCTCCAGTCCCCTACCAGAAGGCAGTTGAGGCAGGGTGAGGAAATGGGAAGTGAAGGTATTAACTTACATGTACCTGGCCTGTGCAAGGCTTCCCTGCAACAGAGTTCCTGAGTTACAGGTGTTGTGTGAGCCCATCTTCCCTGTCCCACACTGCCCCAGTCATCATCAAATCAATAGGTGGAACTGATTAACCTCAGTGAAGAGGATAGAGACACTTGCCAGGGGGATCCCAGGCACAAAAGGCAGCAACAGTGTGCCATAAGGATGTGGCTTCACAGTGCTTCAGCCCTGCCCCATCAACATCCTGCAGCTGAGGCAGGGTGAGGAAGAGGGAAATGCTGCCAGAAAGGTTGGCCAGCTTACAGTCTTCCCCTCGTCAATAAAGGATATAATATCTTTAAGAAATTGTGTGAGGCCTTTTCCATCTCATGTTATTCCCCCTGTCCTCGGAGCATGTTTTCTGTACTAAGCCCTCAGGGAGAAGGAAGGGAGGGCCCTTGCTTCCCTTGGGCTGTTGCAGCAGGGAGCAGAAGCAGCTGGTGGAGGGCCACCAAGGTCAGGGTGGCTCTGGAAGTGATTTTCTAAAAGTTGTTCTTATCTGAAGCAATATATTATCTTCATTACTCTCACTTCAGATTTCTGTGACCACACCTTATTACTACTTCTTGGTTTTTCTTATCCTCCTCCAGCAAAGGTTCACAAAACCATACAGTAGCAGGCTTAGCAGACATTAATACATGCTGGTTTAGCAGACTGTCCAGTGTACAGCCCAGGTGAACTACAGATCGCTCCAGGTACAAGTTTAGTCAAGCAAATGGGACATGACACCACAGTGGGTGAGAATCTGCTATGCGATCCTGTCTGCTAGCTTTGCTGCAGCATGGTGGCCCTCAGCCAGAGAACAGCATAGCCTCTTGGTTAATTTGCAATTTTATAAGCATGCACACTATAAACATTTATCAGAAATACATGTGGTTGATAACCACAGTATCTAATACTGGAGACAGCAGTCTGATTTTCCAAACACCATGGAATGTATTTTCAGCACACGTAAAAGTTACTCCTTAGTACGTGGCTTTTTTTCTTTTAAAACTCTGGATAAGATGATGTATGTACTTTTGCAATTTCAGAAGAGAAAAATGGTTTTACAGTTGAATGATCTTTACTGAAGTTACAACTGGCATCTGCTAAACCCACAGCAGTATCATCTTTGTGAATTCCATCTTCACTTGTATTTCAAAGGTTTGTTATTTCTTTCGTGGTTTGGGGAAAACAGACTTCAGCAAATCCTTATTTCCAGTTCTACAAAAGTTGCAGAGGTCTCCTTGTTAACCTTTTATTTTGCCGGTTTCTTAAGCAGACACCATAGGTTAATGTTCTATTACAAGAATAGTGTCTTTAACGGTTCCTCTTCTATCTTTCCCACCCTCCACAGGGTTAGGGAGCTTGTCCCTTATCTCTCCTCACAGCTGCAGCAGCTGGCAGCAGAGTGAACAGAAATGCCTCTACACTGGATGTGGGTCTCCAAGGCAGCAGGAGCTCTGGGGAGCCCTGCATGCAAGAGGTGGTGCAGCCTATCCACTACTGCATCCCAGGGCCATGCTTTGGTAAGAGATCAGCAATGCCCTTGCACTATGCCTCACAGTGAAAATGAAGTCACAAGCACAATTTTTGGTCCTCTGTTGAGATCAGACTGCCTAATTAGTGAAGAGCTGGTTTGCAGGAGATTAAAAAGTTAGTTTCTACTCAGAGCGCTCAAAACACCACTGTCCTAAAGGCTGATATTTCAACATCTGTTAGTGAGATTCACTTTCTATCCGCCTTAGCACACAACAGGCAGGCAGAGAAAGCTGTGAGGAAGACAAGAGTCCCCACTGCTGTGTATTCTTTTTCATTTAAGTAATGCAAATTCAGCTTGCATTAGCACAGTCTGTTTATTGTGCCCTAGAGAAAGAGAATACACATGGCTTCATATTACTCTGAATTCACCCAACAATTCTGTTCTCTTGGAGAAAAAGCCTAATAAAGAAAAAGTAGTTTCCCATCCCATCTCTTTGCTTTTTACGTTTCTGTTTTGCTGTTTTTAGGGGTTTTTTTTGGAAGAAATAGAGGGGATGACATTGATAATTCTGGCAACCCAGCTTTTAATAGAAATATATACTTTATCACAAATATTTTTTGTAGACATACACTCAAAACACTCAAACCTATACAATGTTCAAAACCTCCAGTTCTGTTTTAAACAGTACAAGAGAAAAAAAATATGACCACCACAGGCAGAACAGAAATAACATGAAACAAATAAATAACCAGGCTATTTCTCTTTTGTCTTTACAAGAGAGTTAAATACTGACTGCCTCAATGTGTTAGCCAGTTGCATTCTTATACCACAGTTGCAGGGGCAAACAAAGCCAACACACACTCACTAAGAGTGCATTGCCAGCAACTGAGGTCACCCAGAGAGGGATCTGACTGTGATCTTGCCATAATAGAAAAAGGCTCACACTTTATCACACCACCTTCTCCAAAGCCATCTTAGCTTAGATTTTGTAAATGATTATCTAATGGGATTGTTAGTGCTGAATTGTTGGGGCGATGGAGGTAGGTGATTCATTACCTGCCTCTGGGACTGTCTTTGGTTTTTGTGTTTAGGTTGTACAGTGACCATTTTTTGTTTGTTAGAAGCATACAACCTCAGGAGCAGCATAGCTAAACACTCACCACAACTATTGAAAAGTAAACTTCAACTAATCAGTTTAGAAACAATGTGTGGTTTTTTTTGAAAAAGGAAAAGGGTGAAAAAATGAGCTGAGAAAGACTTGTATCTGTCCGATACAGCTTTCAGATCATGAAGTAGAAAGAACTTCAAACTTCCCCTTCCCCTATATGTAAGGGAAGTGACAAAAGAAATAAAAACAAACAAACCTGTACCACAAAACTCACTATTCCCAGCTTGTGTGTAGAGAAGTCTTTGGATTTGCAGCACTAAGGGTTGATGAAGTGCAGTGCAGTTTAGATTCTCTATTTGTAGAGGTCCAAGGAGCCCCAACTAGTTCACAAGTGAAAGACATACACCTTTTCACTCCACTGCAACTAAGAGCCTCCTCATTCTCTATGAAGTTAAGGGAATAGAAGAGCTTTCCAAAAGAAAAAAAGCTAATACTTCTTTAGGGCAGTAGATTTTAAGACCCCAGCAGGTCTGCATAGATTCTCTAGTTCCTCCTTTGTTACTTTACCAGGCAGGAATATAGGGCACAAAAGCCACCAAAGCAGCCCTGCATTTCAGATTTCTGATGAGGACATCACTTAATACAAGATTTATCACCTGGCACTCTTTGCTCACATGCCTCATTAAGCTTCTATCTGCACAAGCTGCATATTACTTTGCAATTGCTTAATCAGCAGCTAAAATACTTGTGAAACATCTTGCAGGCAACCCCACGTGCAGCCCTTGACTGCCACAACACAAGGTGAACAACAGATCTACCTAACGCACCAGACTCGGAAACCCCAAATAAATTCAGGCTTTGACCCCATGCATAGCAGAATAAAGGACTCTGCCAGGTCAGTAATCTAGACTTGGTTTTTCAGCTCTGTCAGCAGTACTCAGGGTAACAAACAGCAACATGTGCAGTCACCACTGTTTCACGTGCACTTGAGTTCAAGTCACTATGGGTAAGAGGGACTACAAAAAGGGGAACTGCTTTTATTCAGGATTTGGCAAATGATCCAGCCACTCACCTAACAATCTGCCAGCTTCACAATCTGACTGACAGGAATGATTTGATGGAGTGCTCTATTCTTAACATGCACACATGCACTCAGGACCCTTCACCAGCATTCTTGGAGACTCATGCATAGTGTAGTGCCAGCCCACTCAAAAATGGGCTAAGACTAAAAACAGGCAGCCCCTTCCAAGCATCTAGCACGTCCTTAAACTTTCCATTGACTTCACTTTCACGTCAGTCATCAAAGCTTCTTGCGGCTGGAATCTATTGAAGAACATCTTTTACAACCCACATCCCCTCTGTTCTTGTGGTCAGGAGACTGCCAGAGCAGGCACTGCTTATGCAAGTTGAATTTTAAGTATTAAGAACGATACATCAAACCAGTTCATACAAGTAAAGTGTGCCACATCTTCATATTTAGAGACACCTACTCTGTTTTTAAAGTGAATTTTAACACCACTAGATATTTAATAAAAAACAATGCTATGTTTTCTGCAAGGTACACTACAGAACAGGATACATACTTCCACGCCTAGCTTTTTGACGACACCAGCAAAGCTGCAAATTCAGCCAGCCCATAAAAGTACAAGTGAAGAGGGGAGCAGGCTGTACCTAAGATTGGAAAGCATATGCTATTAGCTCTGGAGTAGAAATGAGGAAAAAGGCACAGTTGATGAAAAAAAGCGTACTTGATCACCAAGCTTAAACTCAGGAATACTGAAACATGAACAGATGAACCTGCTAAGAGAAAACAATAATCTCAGAATCTGCCCAGAGTTTGTGTGGAACATAAATAGAATTAAAAGTTCCCTACCAAGCACTCAGACACCTCAAACTTTGGCAAAAGCTTGCAGAAAAAAACACAGCCTTTTCTTTCCCAAACTAAAGATATTCCACATGCAATCAGTAATGGCTTCTGAGAGAAATCTGAAGTGTACGTATCTGTATCTGCTTCCATTATTCACTTATGCGCTAGGAGCCGTGATCCTAAAAGCTACATCTAAGGACCAGCTCATGCAGAATGTAGATCAGGGATCAAACAAATAATAGGAAGCAAATACGTCTCTAGTACAACTGGATTAAAAAAAAAAAGTATTCCTGGTGTAACCAATCATCAGGAAAAGTGTTTTTCAGGGAACAAGTAGAATGTTGGTAGCAACTAGCATGCTCTCTACTTTTGCTTTGAAGTGTCTTATGCTTCTTAATTCTAGTGCAAATGCTGCTGTAGCCACAGAAGCATATATGAAGTGTTAAGATACTCAGTTACACAGTGGCATATGACACAGCAAGGAGGCTTTAGTTACCTTCTCTGTTATCAAGCACAGTACAAAAATGATGACAGAGCTTTCCTTCAGCACTTCATTCTCTTCCACCCACTCCTGCATTATAAACCTCAAGAGACACATCCAGTCTCCTGATGTGGTCTGCAGTGTTCCCCTGTGAGAACAAAGCGTATGAGGAAGGAGGATCTACAGCAGACGGTGGATCACAGTGGCCTTACTGGCCAGACCAGCAAGGAACAGGCTGGCAGATTCTGCAATCAGCATTGCCCTTGCTGTTATCTCCTTAAACACTTTTTGTTCAGCAATTTCTCATTGCATTAAGGTGGTGAGCACAGAGCTAGCTTTAAAACAGGCTTCTCTAAGCACAGATATCAGGCTGCAGAAGCCCTGCCATTTCCCAAGGAAGCCTGCAAGTACAGTCCTTCTGGAATGAATTGATCAAATGAAGCAAAGATTCAACTCTTGTTTCCCCTACTTGCCAAAAGGCTTAATCCTCTCTCTCCGAAGGACTTTCTTCCTCCCTGCTGAATAAGCTGAGTAAGGCTTATTCCTCTGTGCAACTGGGAACTGCCCAGTGCCAGCTGATCACAGCAAGCAGGAAAAGGAGTGAAGCTGTTCAGTTTTAGCGCAAGTCAGTCAAGATTTCAAGCCCATTTTTTCCATCATCTGTTCATATACAGTCCATGCCATTGCTGCCATCAAAGTACGCCTGAGGGCACGGGGCACTCCACCTCGGAAAAAGCCGGCCAGCCCAAAGTCCTGCAACAGGAGATAAACAGCAACCCATTACTATCTGCCTCCAGCATTTTAACTTCTCATATTACATGGAACAGCCCAGGATGTATTTCAGCTCTGATCCAAATCAGCCTCTGAAAGATCCAGGCTTAAATTGAATTCAACCTTTAGGAAGAACCCATAACACCATGCACTTGCAGGGCTGCTGTTGAAGAAGGAAGGGGAAGGGTGTGTTAGGATGACAAACGATGGGGAAAGCCACATTGAAGCCTGAAAAAGAGAAGGTGAGGGAGTAACAATTTCAAGCCACTTGAGGAAAGTGACTTGTTCTAGTTTAGAGATAATTCATATTTACAAAAATAATTTAAGACTTAAAATTGAAGTTTATAAGTACTGAATAAGAAAAAAAAATCTGATACAAGGAAGTGAACTACATACAAAAAAAAAAATCAAAACATATTCCCGTTTAGGATTAGAGTTCAATTTGGAAACAGAGTAAAGCTGCCTTCTGAGGGCAGGAAGGGGAAGGTGGATTTTGAGTACATCTCTATGCCATTCCTTGGATACAGACTTGAATATTTATTTCTCTTTTAGTGTCTTTTAATATTTCTCTTTTAAGGGAAAAGAATTGATTTTTTTCACTGGCTTATCTCTAAAATTGCCATTTAATGCCACTTACTAAAGAAGCCCTTTGTTTCAGTGTGATAACTACAGATGTGCCTGCACTGATAAGCCAGAGGTGACAGCAGCTGCAAGCAGAGCTCCACCAAGCTTACATACAGAGCTAAAATGAAATAATCCAAGTGCTTTCCATCACTACCAGTGTAAGAATCAAGGCATAACAGACAGAACTTAAGCGTAATCATTCACTAGTTGGAAACATGAAGCAAGTTTGTGTGGAGAGATACTTGCTGCAATACGCCAACCTTTGTGCTCTAAGCTTACTCTCCAATTCCCATTTTTTGTAATTCTGTGAAAAGAAAAAAAAAAAAAGATAATGGACTGGGGAATGGCAAGAATAATCAGGGAGCAAGTTCACAGCCTTGTAATCTGTCCAAGAAGAGCAAAAAAATATCTGATAGCAATAATGGCCTCACTTATTACAAGGAAAACCAAGGAATAATGGACTGAAGACTCTGACAGCTTTCAAGTCATCAAAAACATTGCTTCTCCAGCTACTTTCCTGAGCAGACCATAAGCCAGTGACAAGAAATTCAGCCTCAGTCTCCCGCAGCATGATCCATCTCATCTTCTGAAAACGCTCATGCTAATTAGCCTGATTGTAAGAACTCAATAAGCAGTCACATTTGTTCACCTACTTTAAAAGGCAAAAACTTTCTTAGCATGGCTGTGCTTCAAGCAAGGAAATGAGAAGCAAGGCTGCAATTGCACTAGCTAGAAGGGATTCAGCTCACCTTGTAGATGAAGGCAATGGCCTGGCTTGTCCTGCAGTACTTTTCAGGGGATAGCTGCATGTGTGTTTTGATGACATCAGCAGGCTGTGTTGTCAGTGAAGCCAAGATTCCTGCAAAGATCCCACAGCCAAAATTCATCAAGGGCATGAGCACTGGATCCAGCTGGTCTGCAGCAGAGCAAAGGCAACTCACTCAGACACAAAACAGGCTACATTGCATGACAAACTGAAAAGCTACTGAATGAGGGTATCAATAGCAGAGTCCAAGACAAAATCCGTGCAGGGCAGAAAAGACCTTGGAAGGGAAGGTTAAAGTTAAGACTAAAGATAAAAGACAAAGTTACTTAACTTAAAGACAAGTTAAAGATAAGACTGCACAAACAGCTCACTGCTGAGGAACTGAATTTATTTGGAGCTCAGGTAAGGAAAAGATGTCTAAGTCTTGTCCCTGCCAGTTCTAACACCAGAGAAATGCCAGTGTAGTGGAAACTAATCAGTATATAAGACAACCACCTGGATAAAACACTGCTGAACACATCCTCTCAGTTCTTCACTAACCTAACTTAAGCATCATTTACTTATATTAAGCATCAGTCTTCATAACCAATTAATTCAGGGTCAATTTCCATTTCTATACTGACCTGAGCTATAAGTCTACAGTTCTCTTTAAGTAAGAGGCAAACATCTCACCTGAAGTCCTACAAGAGACTAATTTAGCTGCGGAGGTTGAGTGCAATAGGCAGAGCAGGGAATCATAGGGCAAGATGCAAGAAAAGTAGTATCTTCTGTTACGGCCTCCAAAGTTCAGCCTTACCCTGAGGTGTGAGTTTTTTGGTCTGCGTGTAGAACATCAGGTAGATCCCAGAGAATGGTGCATCCCGCAGCAGTGTTGCGGTGAGCCCACTGAACATGCCACGAGCCCCTTCTGTCTGGTAAATATTCTTCAGAGCTGCATATACACTCCTATAGCCAAACCTTCCACTCTGTAGAGGCAGATAAAATTCTGTCATCCACATGCCAGGAACAGGCTAAGGAGCTCTGCTCTCAGCCTGAGGTAACCATGTTCAAACCAACAATGCTATGTGCTTCATGTAATACCTAAGATGGCAGTAGAGAAGATAGCCCAAGGCAAAAACTTCATTCCACCTGCCTCTGCCTTTAAAACAGTCTTTCAAGAAGGTAACTTAAAAAGGGCCCTACAACTGCAAAGACATTACATGCAAACAGAACTTCAAAATCTCTGGGTGAATTCTGTTTCATCTTACACTTCTTTCCTAAACACCAGTGGTATGACTTGGCACAATGCATGAACCAGGATGAAATCGGGACTACATCTCTGGCTGTATCTGAGGACCAGCAACCTTCTCCAGATACAAGAACTTCTTTGTCATCATGAGGAAGGGGTGTGACACCATTAACAAGGAATTAATTAGAAAGTCAACTAACCTCATACCGGGTCTTCACTACAGTTACCGGCAACATGCAAATCCCTGATATTGCACGTGCAGTGGCACCCAGAAAGACAGACTCCAGGGCTGTGGGTGAACGGTCCACTAGAAGATTTTGCTTCATTGTGTACAGAGTGCTGAAGTAAATCCCAACCCCAGGAATGCATCTTGCAAAAGACTTCAAAGAAACGACACCAAAGAAAGACAGAAAAAGCACACATAAGACAAAATGTACTACAGAACATTTCAGGAGCTATTAAATCTGTTGGGAAGCTTTATGAAAAAGAATCACTACAAGATCATTAAAGCTAAGAAAAGAAAACAAAGAAAAGTAATTAATGCCACTGAGAGGTAAGAGATTCAACTGACGCCAGGATTTAACACACTCCTCATCTGCAATTTTCTAGCAACAAGGTATTCCAAAGCGAAACTAGGTTCTGCAGTTGCCACACCACGTTTGTAGAGTTATTCAAGCATTCAGCTGCTCAGCCTTGCAAATCAACAATGGCTACTAGGACCAAACCAGCGGAACTCACAACATTAACCATTAACTCCTTAAAATTGGATTTAACTATCTACCTATCACATGATTTCACTTGAATCATACAAGATTCATACAAGGCCACTTGAATCCAGCCCTTAGTTATTAAAAAACGGTAGGTCTATTTATGTGTGTGTTTTTGCGATGAGGGTTAAAACAGCCACTTACTGGCGAGACACCTTTCCAGAGCCCCAGAAGACTCTCGGTACGAACCACCCTGAAGAGCAGCGTCACCATCCCAACGCGGCCGGACCTGAAAGAAAGACAAGACAGGCGCTGCAGCGAGGGGCTGCTTCTGCCCTCAGCCCTACAGGCTCCCAGTCACTCTTTGCAGACCCCATCCTGTCCCAGAAGGACCCTCAGTCCCTGCAGGACACCCCCGAGCACCGAGCCCCGGCCGGGCTGGGGCACGCCCCCCCCCGATTGGCCCCTTACCCGCCCGCGGGGGGCTGCAGAGTCTGCAGGCGGGTCTTCAGCAGGTCGAGGGGCTGGAAAAGGAGCGTGGAGCAGGTGCCGCTGATGGAGCCGCAGATGAAGGCCTTCAGTACGGGATGCATCTGGAGGGGGAGGGGAGGCGGCCGGTTAACGTCCCGTCACGGGGAGCCGCGCGAACCCAGCGCACCGCGCCCGGGCCAGAGGCGCGCCATTACCTCCACTTCTCGCCCCGGCATCCCCGAGCCGCTCCACAACCAGTCAGCGCCACGGACAGGAGTGACGCGACGGGCTCGCCCCCGCCGCGGGCCAATCCCAGCCAAGGCGGGGGGCGCGCGGCCCGCCAAGTGCGGCTGCGCGGCCGCTAAGCGCTGGCGTGCCGGGGGCGCGCTTGCCGTGACACGTGACCGGCATGGGCGGGTGCGCACCTTGCGGCCCCGCCTTCGTGCGAAAACGTGAAAAGCAGGGGGAGTGTGTTTAAGTCGGTGGCTGGGATGTGGTTTGGGCCCCGTTTCCTGGCCTTCTGGTGCCCAGACAACGTGCTGTGGCAGTTAGAGGCTCACAGAATTGTTATCCCCCTACGCCATTGTCATGCACTAAACCATATCACAGAATCACAGAATTTCTAGGTTGGAAGAGACCTCAAGATCACCGAGTCCAATCTCTGACCTAACACTAACAGTCCCCACTAAACCATATCCCTAAGCTCTACATCTAAACGTCTTTTAAAGACCTACAGGGATGGTGACTCCACCACTTCCCTGGGCAGCCTGTTCCAATGTCTAACAACCCTTTCGGTAAAGAAGTTCTTCCTAACATCCAACCTAAAACTCCCCTGGTGCAACTTAAGCCCATTCCCCCTCGTCCTGTCACCAGGCACTTGGGAGAATAGACCAACCCCCACCTCACTACAGCCTCCTTTAAGGTATCTGTAAAGAGCAGTAAGGTCGCCCCTGAGCCTCCTTTTCTCCAGGCTGAATAAGCCCAGCTCCCTCAGCCGCTCCTTGTAGGACTCCTCACCAGCTTCATCGACCCACATCCAACCTTTCCTTGAATGCCCCCAGGGACAGTGACGCCACCACCTCCCTGGGCAACCCAATCCAATGCCTGACTTCTCTTCCTGAGAAGAAGTTCCTCCCCATTTTTAATCCAACACCCCCTCCCCCTCTGCCCCCCGCAGCAAAATATTTGGCCCAGCAGGCTTTGCAAGGCACGGGCACAGGAAAATTGAGCAATAACGAAGTGTTGCTTTCATTTCTTACCCCCCCCCCCCCCCCCCCCCCCCCCCGCTCCCTCCTGCTGGATGTCCTGTTCTGGTAGCACCTGAAGACACCATCATCCTCCCACCACTGGAGCACCCAAGCAGTGGGACACCAACATGAGCCTCAGCTCTTGGGAGCCAAAGGCTTTCAAGAAGCTGAAGGTGGCTGCAGAGCCAGCTGATCCTTTTCCACAAAGCAGGAGGAGACGTGGCCAAAGGCTGTTGGCTTTCAGCCTGCAGCCCCCTGTGTATTGTCAGCTGATCACGGTGGTGAGCCCCAGGGTGGTTCCGGCTGTGCAGCTCTGAATGTCTCTTAGACAAACCTGGGAGTCCCATGCCAACATGCAGCCCATAGCCTGCCCTGTGGAGGCTCCAAATGTCTCCCAGCTGTCCTGAATCATCAAAAGACCCTCAAAGGCTCAGGAGATGCCCCTAGGTGGCTCACAGGTGGTGTGAAGCTCAACCTTCATGCTCCTCTTCAGCTGCCAGACCTCTCCAGCTCCACTTTCCCAATCCTATGAATTCCTGGCTTCCTCTTGACACATCCTGACTCCTTTTCTCTCATGCATGCTGCTGCAAAAGGCCTGGTGACAAAGTGCAGCCCTTCCTGCTGTACTGGAGCGTTGATGGGTGGCCTGGGGAAAAGAAGCAGAAAAGCAATGGAAGTGTTGAGCGAATGAGAAATGTTTCTTTAGCATGGGGTTGTAAGTGATATGGTGCAAAGTTTCAGGCTGGAAAAGTGGTCAGGGGCAGGAATACTAGTGCTGGACAAAATTTACATAGTAAATAAATTCAGAGAGAACCTCTTTTCCACATTGCCCTGTTGTGGTCTTTTTGGAGGAGTACCAGATTGGAGTGAAAGAAAGCTATGTTCAGCTACTAACTTATGGCATCCTGAACTTGTTATGGGATCACATGTATCATGCCTAATTAATCAACAGATATATAAGGAGGATGGCTTGGAGATATGCATTGTTTTGAAAAGATCCTTTGGGTGATTTCCTTTGGTGTCTTTCTGTTGTGCTGAGCTTGTATCATCAGGGCACTTACAGGGATGTCTTGTTCTTAGGAATTACTTCATACTTTCACCACAGCTGTTTGCACCTGGCTTGGCTTTTACTTTGAAGACACAATAAATATACAATACATAACAATACAACAACAAAAATACAACACATCAACACAATTCAATACAACAACAACATAAACAATATGTTTAACTGATCACTTACAGGATTGAGCTTAACAATTCTGGTAAGGCTGACAAACCCGAATGATGTATTTGAAATGTTTTTGTGTGGAGCTCTTGTGTGGAGCTGAGGGCGATGTGTCTGGCTTCTCTTACTCCCTGTCCATGGGTGTAGCCACAAAAGATATCTGTGTTGCCTCCTGATGCAAACGAGAGACTGCAGTTGTAGTGGCCAAATAGGTCACATCCCAAGAAACAGCTTTTCCAGGCTGAAACCCTGGCAGTAACCACAATCTCCCATTCCCTGACTTGCTGTGGAGCTAGAAGAGTTTTGCTCCCTTAAATAAATTTCATGATGAACAAGGAGGTGAACCAGCACCACTGGTCACACATATCTCTGCAATGATGATTTCTGTGCCTTGCCTGTGAAGAAAAACCCAGCAGAGGGAGCCTTGTTCCTTCATGTCACTGCCCTGCAGAGATGCAAGACCACTCTGTTTGGTGGTTTTCCAGCCACTGGTGGGAGACATTTATCCTTCCTCATTACAAAGGTCAGAAGCAGAAATTACCTGCATGGTCCAGGTCTGGACTGCTCCCTGCTCAGGAGTGTCTGCAGCTGGGGGTACCCAGGCCCCACTGGCTTAAGCTAGAGGATGGCTCTGCCAGCACCCATGGGCCTTCCTGCCCCAGGACCCTGCATCACGGTACTGTCATGGCCCCAGACTTCCCCAGTTTCAGAATTTCCGATGTTAGACAGGAACAGGAAGGTGAAGTGCTGTTGATCCTGCTGCAGGACAGGAGTGTCCCTGCAGAGCTAGGTACTGCTTTGAGGCAAGTGGGAGAGAAGATCCCCAGCAAGATCATCTCTAGTACCAGCATGCCTGCAAAACCACCTCCTGCCAGAGCCCTCGGGACTGGGACTGAGGAGTGGACATCTCTCTTCTGGGGTGGGTCTGTGTGGCTTTTTGATGAGCGTCACCCTGGGGTGACACAGATGTAGTTGGTCTGGCCATGGCCAGGGAGATGGACCATGACGTGTCTGGATCTCTGTGCACGCCATGCTATGAGGGCTGCAGTACTCCTGACCAGGAGACCGCTTCACACCAAGGAGCCAGTGACCCAGACAGCAGTTGCCCTTTGTGGACTCACGGTGTGGCCCCAGCTCATAGTAACAGAGGAGCATGTGGGCAGCTCCCACTTGGTACCACTGATTACACCAACCATATGGCCTTGCCTTTGTCAAAAAGTGCAGCAAGAAGTTTCTATGAGAAAATCCTTTCTGTTTGCTGGTAGAAATGATGAATAGAGATGTTTTCTTGCAAGCAAGTCATGTAACAGCTTGAATGATGACAGATGGGATCTGTGCAGTATGTTGTGGAAAAATACATCTAGTGTCCATCTAATGCTGAACACATGCAGGGTTCCCGAAACTGAAAGGGAAATACGATTTATTTGCTACCTATATTCTTCTTTTTATTCTGCCTTATTAAAACAGCTCTTTTATTAAGCCATTTGTTGCCTGACCTTTCTTACTGAGATCCAGAGAGAGCCCTGCCCCATCTCTCTTGCCCCTGTCACCCTAATGCTGAATATTTGGTATTATGGTCAGGATTCGGAGAAAAATACCATTATAGAAGAGGGCTAGTGAATAACTGAGCACTGGCACAGGCTGCTGAGAGAGGTTATAGAGTCTCCTCCTTGGAGATCTTCAAAAGCCTCCTCAGTGTGGTCTGTGGCAACCCACACGAGGTATCCTTGTTTGAGCAGTGGGGTTGGACCAGGTGACTTTCGGAGGACCCTTCCAAACTCAAAAATCCTGATTCTGGGATTCCTTGAAATTAGAGAGGAGGAAAATCTCAAATGGGTGCTGCACACAGGCATGGGGGCTGGTTACTCAGGTGACCCCACAGTGAGCAGGGAAGCTGAGAAGGATATACCCCAGTGCCCACATCTGAGGATGTTGACAGATGTTCAGAGAAGCACAGCACTGACATGGAAGTAGATGCTGTGAGGAAGGGGAGGATAAATGTGGCTGCCTTGCAGTGAGCATGGACAGAGACTTGAGGAGGCCACACAGGCTGATGCTGAACAAACCACAGCCCCTACAGATTCCTGTTGGTAGATGCTCAGCCATGGCTGTGTCCTTTCCTTCTACCCGTCCCTGTGCTCACCAGCACATGCTGCTGGTGATAAAGCATCTGGAGATCAAGATTTCTGCTTCATCTCTTTTCTGAGCACTGATTTCCATTACCCCCTCGCTCCCCTTCATTCCCCACCACCTCACTCCACCTGTGCACCACCGAGTGGGCACGAGCAGCAGCATTTCAGCAGCTCTACTCCAAAAGATTTGCGAAACTCTTCCTATGAGCCCCAAGCAGGGGATTATGTACAGACATTTTTGCTGATGCTGCCAAAGTTGTAGTTTCAAGTTAAGAAAGCCTTTTCAGGCTCTTGAAGGAGGAAATGAAAACTCACCATCAAAGGCCCCCTGTCTGCATGACCTGGGGTCTCTGAGCAGCTTGTTTTCCACACTGGGACAGGTTCCTGCAGGACAGCCAGCACCTGCGTCAGTTCAAACACCACAGAAAACCTGCTCCTGTGTTGCCCAGACTCAATGAGATGCATCCCCTGAGCAAGACATATAGTGTGAGTACCTGAGTTGTCACCTTTAGTCCCAGCTCCTGCCTGTGAATTTCTCTTTTCTCCTGCACTGAGTTACCTGTGCACTTCGCAGTTCCACTGAAGTCTCAGTTCTTCTAGGAGCTGCTTATTTCTTGTGGTTGGGCAGTCTGCCATCTACATTTAGGAGATGAGATGTACAGAGCTGCCTGAGCAGCCAAATTCACGTAGTTGGTTGTCACCTCTTTTCATACATTGCACGATTCTTGGGTACCTTCTGTACTACCATCACTGATGGATGTGTTAA